TTAGGCTTAGGCTTAGGCTTAGGCTTAGGCTTAGGCTTAGGCTTAGGCTTAGGCTTAGGCTTAGGCTTAGTATTCAAGCATAAGTGATGCTTCCAGTTAAGTGTGGCTGTTCATTCTGATAATGAGTAGATTTTCCCACAGGAGAGATTGAAGGAAGTGCATGTTTACAATGGTACCTGAAGACTTTGTTGCAGATTTTACCATAATTTTAAAGAATTGCACCTTCTCTAGGGGCTACATCAAGATGGTCAAAACAGTAGGCAGGAGATTAACTGTTCAATGGCAGTTACTGTTCTCTGTCTTATCTCCAGGGTACACAGCTCTGGTGACAGTTTCACATGGACTCTGTCCTACAAGGGGTTGTGTAATTATCCCCATTGTAACTTGGAGGCCCTGGTTTGAACTCAATGAAGAGATTACAGCTCTTGGATACAGAAAGGCAGTCTTTCCCCAGATCTGTCCCCCTCTTATTCATGATATTTCAATGATTGACAAACAGACAAAAATATATTTATTTAGGGATTACCTATATTGAAAACTAGACATGGGATTTTTTTCTCTGTCAACATTGCAGTAATATCAGCTATTTGAACAAAAGGAGAGGCATTTTTCATTCAATATGGAATGCTGAAAATTCTCCAGTTTGTATTCAGGAAGACATTTGGTTTTATTGATCATGTTAGCTGAATAAGTTTAAATTCCTATAGCCAGGCAAGGAGAAAGTTGATTTTCTATTTATTGTAAAGGTTATTAGGAGGAAAATCAGATATAGAAGTTATTTGTCTTTAGATAATCCTTGACAACCAGAATCATTCAAGGATGTTGCAGAAGTTTTATTCAAAGGCAACACTCTGATGGTCTTGAGAACTATGATGTTTCTTCTGGAAGTACTCATTTTATTTTTTAAAACTTTGCTTGTTTCAAGAAAACACTTTGTTATAGATGGAGAAGTATACATTTCTCTGCTTTTAATTGATAAGAAATTCTTACATTCCATCAAAAGTCTGAGAACTAATAAGCTCCATTTAGATTGTCTCTAATCCAGAATCTTTTGCCATAAACAATAACATTCCCTTGAGGTATTCCCCCACTATCTTCAAATCCAAAAGTGTGAGGCACCTTAATACTAAATAACAACAACCGTGTGAAATTTTTCCTCAGTGTTTGGTCTGTCCTTTGGTCTCAGACTTAAGGAAATAAGCCATATCTCTCAGTCACTACTGAAAACTCACAGTGTTGTTTCTACAAGGAAAAACTCAGCACAAAACTCCTCTTTTGGGTTTTGAAGACATTCTGTAACTCATCAGTGAAAAGCGAGTAAAAGTAGAAAAGTCACAGTTGATGTGTCAGATTGTGGTGGTGAAAAGACAGGTCTAGGCAGAAATATTATTGCCAAATGAAGAAGTCCCTGAACATCAGTAGTAAGTACTTGTATTTTTTCCAGAAATGTCCTTTTCCTTTTGGTATTTGCCCTTTGATAGGATTATATGTGCCCAAGGACAGCCCTCTCCTGGCTTCCTGAGAGAAATGAAGTGACTCAGAGAAATGACCACAATATTTTTTTAAATGAAGTTATGCAAATCTGATAGGCTAAAGTAAATGTTTCATAAAACCAATGACGGTTTAAATTGTAGGACTAAACTGTTTGTATATAAATATTACCTTTTATATTCCATTTGAGTTTTATGTAGATGAACACATTACTTTAATGACCTGCGTTTACCGAGGGAGAGTGGGAGAGTCACTCCCTGAAATTCTCACCAGCCAGATGGCTGCCTTTTCTTGCATGAGATTAAAAGATGTTTCTCATTCACTGCAATGCTTCAGAGGCAAATTAATATTGCCAGCTAAATTGCTTGTGTTTTTGGAATAAAATTTAAAGAGAACTTTTTAAAGCAATTGGTGTCATAGGTTCTCAGAGCAGATTGCTCTCCAGGTAGAGAGACATTCAGTAATTAATGGAAAGAATTCTGTGTTAATTGACTGCTTCAGGAAGGGAAATATAATGACTCCTTATTAATCATGAAAAGAGATGTACAGCATAGAGGCCCCACAATAATTGCTGCAACAGTGGAGAAATGTTAATTAATGAAAAGAACAATGATGTAAGAAATTAGCTACATAATGCTTGCCACCAATGGAGATTGGGTTTTAAACATATTATTTAGAGTGGAAACTACAAAATGTTGCCTTAAATAACAGATACATGAAAAACTCATGCACCTAAATCTAAGGGGAGAAAGTCTTTCCGTGTTTCTCACATCTTTGCTTAAAGAAGCAAAAACATTCAGCCAGAGCTATATTTATTTCAGAGAACATGCCTTGTCCTTCATCTATGATCTGGGATTCTAAGATCAAAATCATTCCCAGACCAAACCAAGGTTATTTATTACTGTCATTTAATTCAGCACAGTAGATCATCTGACCACTAAAAACAACGGGAGTAAATGAGAGTATTTTTCCCTAAACTGAAATAAACAAATTCTATTTCTGATATTTCCCAGTTAACATGAAGAAAAATTCAGACCAACTTTGGGGACAGATGATTGTCTTTCTTACAGAGTGTAATTCTAAGTTCCTGAGAGAACATGGAGCTTCCTAAGAACTCATTTTCCAGAAAGAGACTGGTTTCATTAACATGCGAGGAACTGCAGAGCTCAGCCCCCAGCACTAGAGCTGCTCGGAAATCATTTGTGGCCCCGGGCGTGTCTGGGGAGTGCTCCAGGCTCTGTGAAACGGAGAAAGTGATGCTTGCTGAGCAGGGGCCTGCAGGGCAGGAAGGCACCCGTACTGTTCACAATCAGCCCTGGTGGGCCAGGGCACCCTCCAGCAAGGGAGGGCATCGCACTGACTCTGCCCTCACTTTCACTCCAGGTGGAATGTCCTGGGACTCCAGGGCGCTCTCCTCTGTCACTTCATTGAGCCTGTGTACCTCCACAGCATCATTGTGGGAAGCCTGCACCACACAGGCCACCTCTCCCGGGTCATGAGCCACAGGATGGAGGACATCGGCCAGCTACCAACCTCATACCAGCACAACCTGCCTCTTCTCAGTGGTAAGAAAACATCACCCCAAGGGACCGACAACCTTCTCCCTGTCAGCAGGCGGGCTGCACACAGGTCCCATGGCTGCCAGCTCAGGGCAGGCTGTACTCATTTTGGCAAATGACTATTTAAGATTTAATGAGTAAAATTGCAACAGTCCACATTTTTAAGAGATCAGAGAGAAAGAGAGAAAAAGAAGAAAGGAAGAAAGAAAGAAAGAAAGAAAGAAAGAAAGAAAGAAAGAAAGAAAGAAAGAAAGAAAGAAAGCGAGCAAGCACTTGTCTGAATATAGGGACAGGCAACATTTCAGCATGAATGCATAATAGAACCAAGCATATCATGCATCTTTCTGTCATTGTCACTGCAGTGTCTAAAAGTAACCAGTTACCACAAAGACCTGCAGTGATGATGTGAATGTCTCAGAAGCCCAGCATCCTTCCTGGAGCTGTTCTATGGGAACCACTGCAGAGGGACACTCCAGTGGCAGCAGCCAGACTCCACCCCCAAGACCAAGGAGTGGGTCTGTAGGGCCCAGAGGCTCTGTGCTCTCTGGAGAAGCTCATCTCAGAGGGAGCAAGGTGGCTTAGCAAACACTGAGCCCAGCCACATCCCCTACCTGTCATAGAGACTTAGAGATTCTTCACTTCAGCCCACCAGGTACACAGCTGGTTGCCATGAAAATACAGTATTGCAGAAGCTGTACAGTTTTGTGTGTACCTACTAGAAAGGAACACGTATGATATCTCAAAGGCCTTTAGAAAAATAACATTTATTCACTGTGACCACTGACCTTCCACATTAGGGAAACTTTCAGATCTGTGGGAACTGAACAGAAGTAGACAAGCAGCATGTGGATTTTAATGATATCTTGTAAGCCTGGAGGCCTGGAGGAAACCACTAGATTTTTTTCCGTTGGTGATACTGGGGCTTGATCCTAGGGCCTTCACACTGAGCCACATCCCTAGCTCTTTTTAATTTCTTATTTTCAGACAAAGTCTTGCTGAATAACTAAGTTGCCTAGAAATCTTGAACTTATGATCCTCCTGCCTCAGCAGGCTTCCAGAGTGCTATTACAAGCATGCACCACCACTCCCAGCTAACACTTGACCTTGGAGTCAGCTTCCCTGGCTGGAGGAGGAGAGCACACTCAAAGGAGTGCTTGTAAAAAAGAATCAACCTGGTGCACTGATAAAGCATAGCACCCAGGTGGGGAGTGGGCACAGTCTCTTCTCCAAAAGCAAGTGGACCAGTACCCCCAGGGCTTTGCTGATTTAGCTCTAGACCAAATCATCTGATAGAGAAAACAGGAAGATAAAGAAACTACTCTTAGTGTTTCATCTGGGAGTAGTTAGGCCTAAGATTTGTTCCCAATATTCTAAAATTGCTCTAAATTGTGAGATTCAGGGCCTCATGGGAGCAGTAGTGGGAAGTAAACAAAATAATTCATGCAAAGCACAGAACTATGCTAAACAAGTATTTAAGAAAAGATGCTTCCTATCACAAAAGCAAATTCATTTATTCTACAGTACTATCTAGAGATTGAATGCCTCTATGTATTGTTGTGAAAAATAAGATTACAGACCTAAAAGTTAAAATAGAAATGGCAGACAAAAAAAATCACCTACCCCGCCCCCACTCCCGCATGATTGCTGCAAATCAGTTCCTTCACATATAGACATTCTAGGCTTTCTAAATATATAAGGCCCCATCCAAAACTTCTGCAACTCTATCCCTTTTTGGTTAGCCATAGACACTTGGACAGCAGATTCAAGATCAGCTCAAGTTGAAACTGGCTTCACCCTGTGCTCAGATCCACAGATGTTGTTAAACTACGGAGGTTTGCAAATGTACAGTGAAAGAAAACTTGGAATACAAAGTTAGCAAACTTCAGTGAGACCATTTAAAAGAGGGTAGCATTTTACATTAAGACTTTACCTTTCTGAGCCATTGGGGGAAAATTAACTTCTTCACCACTTAGACTGAGTTAATATTAATAAGACAGGAAGACACCCACACACGAGTGGTGATCTTACCTTCAGTGTGCTTGTGCCCCTTCTGTTTACTGTGTTATCCCAGTTGTACCTTATTCCTGTCCCTAGCTGATTGGCTGACTCTAAACTCCACACATGGTATGGTAGGGCCTTAGACACTAGCCATGGTATGCGTGGTAAGCAGAGTTTTAGTTGACTTGTTGGGTCTACACTGGAAAAGGCTGCTTTTGGACCAGATCTGTAGCTGTATCTAGGACTATAGGGTCCCATGTCCCAAATCATAAGAGCTTTTTGGGCAATATACAGTGCACAGATGAACTGGAAGGGGTGCACAATTTAGGAGTCTGATCTAAATAGTGCAACTATTATAAACTTTGCAAAACACCTTCTGAAAATGGCTGTATCATTTAGAGAGGGAAAACAGCACTTCTTGAATTCCCTCTCTGTCGTTTGTGACAATTCTCATTTAATCCTCATATCAATTAACAACCAGTGGCACTATCTCTATTTGTAAAGGCCAGGCTGGGGATGCAGCTCAGTGGTAGAGTGCTTGCCTAGCATGCACAAGACCCTGAGTTCAATCCCCGGTACCACAAAAAAAGGTAAAAAAAAATATATATATTTTTAAAGGCCACAAGAGACTCATATAAATTTAATTATTTGCTGAAAATTCTCAACTTATCAATAGAGAGTATTTGAATTTAGATCTGATTGATTGCAAATACTACATTTTTTCATTACACCACACTCATCCCACAGCAGTATAGTGTAATTTCTTAGATGTCTATTTTTTAAATCACTTAAAAATTAATACTGTAAGACAAGAGTAGCTGAAGATGTGGCAACATGCAACCCATGGTGAATGGGAGTGGGAGAGACAAACCAATTCACTGAAGCTTGTCTAAAACTCTTAGCTTCCTACAGTTTTCACACAGCCACTGAGATAAACAAAGGACTCATCTACTGCTCTGCACCAAACTGAAAGATTTGCCTTGAACTCATTCTCTTTACTTTTTAAATGGTCAATGATTTCAGCAATTCTGACGAAGCACTGCAGGTCCAGTTTCAACAACTTTCTTGCTTTTTCTTTTCTTTTTTTCTTTCTCCTGCCTTTTCTTAAACATGATGACTAATTAAGACTAAAATGACTAGTTTGGAACAGGAGGAAATTGTTCCCATATTGGATGCCCCCAAAATTTACTGTTTCTTAGATTTTTTTTCTAAGCTAAATTTAAGAAAATTCTCACCTGTTTTGGTGAGGGTTCTCTCTTTTTTCACCCATCTGGCTCCTCAGGTTGTCCTCATCTCTCTGTGTTAATCTACTAGTGAGACAGCTTCCCCCAGCCTGAATGACATCTGCCCCCACTACAAGTGTGGTCTGACTAAACATTTCAGTCTATACTTAGATGCTTATTTCATATATGGTTTATATTATTATAAAGATGCAAATGAATCTAAATCTTGGTATCTCACCAGCAAACAAGCCCTAAGCCCTAACTTCATTCTTTCTGATGAACATTTAAGAACCAGTCATGCAAATTCTGAAAAGAAATCATTAGAATTTCTTGCCAGAAAAAGGAGAGATATCTGGCATAAGAATAATAAAACACACTCAAACAAGCAAGTGAAATTTGCTTGAAGCTTCTCTCAAGGTCAGTTTGCAGAAATGCTGTAGAAGATGGAGCTCATGCATTCGCAAGATGAAGCCCTGCAATTTAGATATGGCTAAATCAGTTCTGGATTTAAAAAGAAGCAGCCAAGCTGAAAAAGATACCCTTATTGACAAAGCCATAGCGTGCATATTAATGTTCTTGAGAGATATACTTGAAGAATTCTGCACAGACCAGGACAAGCTATGGCAAGCTTCAGTACCAAAAGTCCAAATCAAGGTTGTCAAGAGCCCTGAATCCTTCAAGAACGTTATATCGTTGCCTGAAAATAGCCACCCTAAAGGAGTTTGTCCTTGCTCTTTCTTGGTGAACCCCACAGGTGGAAAAATGATGAGAATAATAATTAGTAAAAATCTATACTTTGAATACTGATCTTTTAGCAAAATGTGATATGAAATAGAAAGCCACTTGTTCTACCAAGCTACTGAAATATCCTTCTGTGAGTTTTCAACTTTAAGGTTGAATTTTATTCATCAAAAAATGAAAATATCTGGATAGGATCAATTGATTTCATGTTAATGGCGTGTTTAACAGAATTTAATCTTGAAATTTCCTAATCCACACTACAGATAAAATTATGATTATTTTTATATCAAATAAAAGGTCTTGACAACAAACATGGAATTGGAGAGACAGACATAGAGAATTGATTGTAGAACCATGAGTTGTTTAAGATCCTTGGTTGATGTTCATATAGTAAACTTTACAGTATTGGTAACAAAATAGAGGATATCGTCTGTTGTCAGACTTCTCATCCAACTCTATCCAGATTGAACAGATCCCCCAAACTAGGTGCCCACAGATGTATAAGAAAAGTAAGAAAAAGTCAAACCAAGAGAGCCAAAATTCTGTGACCAGGTGCTAGCAGCCTCTAGGACTGACTGAGTCCTGATTACGGTCTTCAGTAACCTTTTTATTCAGAACCCACCAAGCAGGCAGCAGAGGAATCAGATGATATCAACTGTTTTAGCAAGGACAATACAACTCAATTATCATAGGACTCTGACCTGACCAGTAAGCTATCATGTTATCTTTCTTCACCCATATCTCCGCAAAGCATTTAGTATTAATCCAGGGGCTTGCAATGCTTATGCTAGACTTCCTCCAGAACCCAGCAATCATGGCTTGGTCAGGCCTCAAGCAATACACAAAATAGTAACTAAAGAATGTTCTTCTCCACAGTCTGTCTTTCTGCTTAGTGAATATTGTCTTAAAATAGTCAAAATGAATAATGAAGTATCCATGAGAAGCCCTTTCGGACATCCATGTTTCACAGCAACTTAATCAGAAAGAAATTTGATACCTATCAAAATGTTCACCAAAAGTAGCCTGTAAATTTTGCCCAATACC